GTATAATTAATCTGCGAAGAATGTTTTTTTGAACCTTATTTTTAAAGCATTTACGGCTGATGAACAAACTAATATTTTATACCAGTGGATAGGAGGCACATAAAAAATTTTTCGCAACACTCTTTGGGAAGATTATCGAAATACAAATTACATATAAAATTTACGTTTATAATTTAGATTAAGTGTATTATTATAAAAATTAAAATTATACCAAATTATTTATAGAAATATTTTGGAATTCTCAAGCAAAGTAAATAAAGAAGGATCTGCCCCCAATTGACATAAAAATTAATAAAAATATCGCACTTTAAATTATTATTTTTTTTTGCTTTTCTAAACAGCAACACTATATGAATAAACACCCCTAATGGAACAAGATAAATTTCCACTAAAGCTGGCCCAAATCCTGAAAGAAAATATGTTAATGTAAAACTAACCTAAAATTTTAAAATTCGAAAAATAAATTCAACAAATTCGTAAATAGGAAAATAAGTAATCTTATTTTTTGTATACAAACAAATTACTAGTATGCATTCATAAACGGTAAATATACTTACTGAATTATCCTTAATTAGTAGAATTAAGTAATTAATAAATGTAATATTTAGGGCTGCCCTATACTCCGAATTATATTACCGCAAATTTCAATTTAATATTTTGTTGATAATTTTGTTATGAGTCTCATTTGTAATTTTATTCCAATCTCTCAGTTTCAATACTGTTATATCGTCATCTAAATACCGCTTTACCAAAATTAAAATTAATAAACTAGAAACGAATATTTAAAAATTTTTTTTATTTATTATATTTGTTTAATTTTTAAATTCATCTACTGTTAACAATCGTTCACATTTTGAATAATATCCAATTACATATTTATTTTTTAAATACAAATATATATATATTTATCTTTGCAAGTATATATGTAGATAATTATAGATTTCTTTTGAACTCTTAAATTTTAAAAATAATTTTTTTAATTAATTTTATGTTTCTTAAATAATATCATCATTTTACTTTAAAGATTTTTTATATTAAATTTTTTTATAAATTTTATTTATCATTTTACATTTAATAAAGTTGTCAATATTTTTGGATTTTTGGCCCACAATTAATTTTTTCTAGAATTATAGAGAGCTGTATATAGACATTAAATAGGCCCCTAAATTAAAACAAAAAAAATTTTTTAAGAGCAATTTATTTTTTTTCTTTTGATTTGTTTCTTTAATTTTTAATTTTAATTTTCAATTAAATTTGAAAAGTTTAATATTTTTTATTTTTTCAAACTACAAAATAGCTATAATCTACATAATATATATTTTTTTTTATTTTATTTTGTATTAATTTTTAAATATTTTAAAAATTTATTTCTTGTTAAAAAGTTAAAGGTTTGCACCTCAAACACTCACATTATCTTACAAAATGCAATTTAATTTTTTTTTCTATATTAAAAATAAATTTATTTATGTATGCATACATACTACATACGTGTACTCTAATATTTTAATTTTAATAAGTAATTTAATATTATAACTCATACATCTGTAAGAATTCAATAATATTTATGGTCTAATCGTATATCTCGCTATTTTACTCGACAAGTGAGAACAAAATGAGTAACTTTCTATATATTTGTACAATGTAATTTTCGAGTAAGAAGAGTTATTCGGTATAGCGTATCTCGCCTTTTTTCTAAAATGTATATACAAAATTTATTTACTTTTTTTGTTGAAAGTGAGACGTTCACTCGATAATTTGAGAAAATGGGTTACCTTATTGAAAAAATGAAATATCTATTAGACAAACAGAGAATTCTGATTTGAAAGTGAATAAAAATTGAGATGAAAAACGAGATACACAATTAGGCTGTTAATATTACTACGTGAACTCTTACAAAAATAGTTAAGCACAGTAAAAAATTTAAATTATATTTTAATTTTTAACACAAATTTAGGTGGTGTATTTTTGGCAGGACACAAAATTAAACATGAAATTCGGTGGAAAAACCTCTCTCATAAAAATATACAGTTAGTCTCCACAAGAATCTTTCTCTTAAATTCATATAGCATGATTGGAGAATTCTTATTATTGATAATTTAATTAAAACTATTTTCTTTTCTCTGCAACATATCGTATTCTCTTAGTTTAAATACTGCCATAAACGAGAGAGAATAAAGCGTTAAATCAATAATAACTGTAGTATTTATGATAAAATAATTTTGTAAATAATAAGAAAGTGGGTCTAAAAATTAACTTACCCGACAATGATTTCAAATATATGACAAAGAGCAGTAATAAAATCATTCGATTTGAATGTGTTTTTTTTTTTAAATCATCAAACACGAAAAGTATAGTATCCAGTTATGTTCAATATCAATATTCAAAAACAAGTTCTGGGACGATGACTCGCAAAAACCATAAAAGTAGATCTCATTCTTATTTCACAATTCAACTAATAAATATAAAATTACATATTTACTTAAATTGAAAACAATTTTTTTAAATTATCATTGTTTATCTTCTTTAATCACCTAGTGAGCAAATTTAATAAGCATTAGAATGCTTAGTTTTGAAAAATTCGAGCTATTGTTATCGAATCTACTTAAATATTTTTTTTTCTTTTAAAAAATTGATCAACACCATCATCTACTATTTTTATTTATCCACGAGGCTAAGAACTCCTAAAATGCTTAATTATCCAAATCATATAAGCATATAATAAAATATAAGCAAATTTACATGCATATATAGATATCGAGCATATACATGCATGTATGTAGACTGAAGACGGAAAAATATATAATATACGTATATGAATATGAACCAAAACCAAGTCTTACAAATTTTTAACAAAAAAAAAAAAATAATCAAATTTTAATATTATACAAATGAACAAGTTTCCAATAATATTATCTTTTCCTTAAAACTCTCAAAAAACAGAAAACCATAATTGACTTAATTATGCATAAATTGTACACAAAGGAGTAATAAAAAAACTTGAAATTTCATTTATTACAAAAAATCACAAACAAAGTAGATGTTTTTTTTTTCATATTCATACATGGAAATTAATGAAAGAATTCTATAGAAGAAAATCTATATGAATATAAACAAATTTACATACAAAAACTTGGAATGAAGAAAATGCAAAATAAAAATAAAATTCAAATATTGCATAGGCATGTTCCCAATTATCCTTAAATGAGTTTTCTTTTTTATTGAAAAATATTTTACACAATTGAATTTTTGTTTTTACCTTTACCTTTTATAAAATTACTCAATGGCAGACTAACTCTTAAAAAATTCCAATGTATCAATAAACAATAAATAAAACTCACCTATAACTCAAACACTCACCTATATTCACCTTATTTCAATAAACAAAAAGAACTCTTCAATTAGTCCTTTTGAAAATATTTAAAAACAAAATTCAAATCTCTTATTTTCTTTTTTTTGATATTTGTGTTTTTTTTTTTTTGTGTTTTCTTGAAAAATATCTGTGCTTCATTGGAAGAAAAATTGAAAAAATTTTATTTTAATCTTTTTGCATTCTTTTAGATCCATTCACATAAACTAATAATGAAATTCCATTATTAGGAACATCTGCATATTATTAAAAGAGCAAATGTATGGGCAATTTGATATTTCCATTTCTAAGCAATATGAAAAATGCCTACTATAGTTTCGCCATATAATTAACTTCTCTTCTTACAAGAGATGCATTAACAGAACTTATTTTGTGGTCTTTATTTAATTGCGTTTAGGTCTTTATTTAATTGCATTGTCCTGCTTTTTAAGTCAAAAATTTTTTTATTTCCAATTCGATGTATATTAATCATAGTCCAAATATTACAGTCGGAAAATTTTCTATTTGTCATAGTCCTCTAAGAGTAATTATCAAAATATACTCAAAATATTTTGCATAGTATTATAAATATTGCTTGAAATAAACCTCATAACACATTGCTGGAAACATCAACATACTTATGTGAAATTGGACCTTATTATTAAAAAAAAAAAAATTTTTTTTTGCAATAAAATAGGAAAACAGATTTTACAAAATAGATATAGAAAGTGGAGAAAAATAAAATACCGAGAAATATTTTCCTTTTGCAAAAATATCTGGAATTCTTCATGCAATATGTTAAACAAAAAGAAAACCCTTTTCATCACCAAACTCAGATAACCTTTGTATTTTTTCATATACCATCAAAACTACATTAAAACGCAAATATTAGATTTATTAAAACTGTTACTCTCGTTGAATTTATTAATACATTACGAGTTTCTAATACAAACATTCGTACAAACTATTAATTATTAAAAATTCTTCAAAAGTTTTAAGATAAAGCAAGTAAAATTAATTAACATTCACTTCAAGAATTCAGAAAGGAATTTGTGATAACCTGCCCCAACTATTTTATATTTGAAATATTAAAACGCCAGTCATTAATATTCATAAGAGGTTTGAAATCCAGTTTTCTGACTTTCCTTTGCAAATTTATTCCAAAAAATTCAAATTCCTACAACTAAAATTGGATTTCTTAAAAAATAATATGGAAAGAACTACTTTCATTTGTAAGGTTGTTGGTATTATAAATTAAAGTGACAACCTTAATAACCCTAGTACAGAATATAAAAAAGTTAAAAAAAGGATAAGGAAGCAAAATTTGCATATTTCTGTAAAAAAATCTATAATTCAAAAATATGTCAAATATGAAAGAAAAAATTTTATATTTTTTATTTTACACTTTGAAAATTTAAAAAATTTGGAAATTTTCGCGAAAGAAGTAAAAGTTTTTATGTTTTAAATCTTAACAAGTACGTCTGTTTTAAATCTGTTCCAACAGAATAATTCCACAAAACATGAAATCTTAGCCGGAAAATTGTGGAAAAAATACGAAAAACTCTTGTTATATACGGATGATGATTACAAAACGAACCCCTATTCTTGAATTAAAACAAGTGTCCTCATTTTTTTATTACCTAATTTACAGCCAAAACATTTATAAAAACATAAATGGTTACATCCTCTTGATAACTTATCACATTGGTTTTTTAAAATTGGCAAATTCAAACATAAATTTTTTGCCATTCTATCCGCATTTCCTTATTGTTATACAAGCAAAAATTTGAAAAAATACGAATTTCTTGAAATCCTATATTATATAGCCGCTTAAAAATAAATGAGAAAAATTTAAATTATTCCGGTTTAACAAAGATTTTTAAAAACGCATTTGTGTGTGTATATATATGTACGTATACATAAAATTTAACATCGAAACGTAAAACCCATAAATTATTCGCGTAGACATTACAAAAAAGTAAAAAAAAGAGCTTAAAGAAATGCAAATCTTTTGAGCAAAGGAAAAAGATTTTTACAATAAAGCAACACAAAAAATGAATTCCTTTGAGATAACAACCTATTAAAATATTATCCTTAAAGGAAAGATATAATATAAATATAGAGAAAATACAATTGAATACAATTAGGCACTAATGTATACACGTAAGTATACACGAAACAATAAAAATTACAAAAACCTGAATAATTTTCCTTTTCTTAAAACACGGATCACGGTCGCCTAAATGGAAATTATTCTATATAACAAAAAAGAACTACGTAGATACTAAATAGTTACTACTCGTTGTAAGCGATTTTAAGCCAAAAAAAAATCTAAATAAATTTAGTACAAAATGATTTCTTGTGCATTTAAAAAATCACAAACTTTACTAAAATATTAGCAAAATATTAAATTTCGCTTCACATATTTTTTAACTCCATCGTCATGAGCATAACAAAATCTTCAAAAATTTTTCAAATTACTTGAACCTTACACTCATAATTTCTAACCTATAAAAATAGAAAAAATTATAGAATATTTTCTCTTTTCCCTATATATGTACATATGTAATTTCAATTTTTAACCCCAAGCTCTTTTGCTAGTTGAATAAGCAACTGTTGAATTATCTTCATCAGGTTCATCAATAACTGCTGCATTAGCACCTCTTAATAAATTTTCCAATTCATATATTTGCATATTTAAACCTTGTGCTTCATCCTGTTGTACAACATTATCCTGATTATTTTGTTGTAATTGTTCACGTTGTTGTTGATTATTTTGTTCCTGTTGCTGTCGTTGATATTCAATATCATTACCAAAACTGTTACTATCGTAATGATTATTATTATTATTATTACTACTATCGTTATTAATTTCTCCAAATCTATTTTGTTCTATTACATTATTATCATTATTAAATGTTTCATCAGCACCACCGGAAATACCATTTCCAATTAAATTATTTTCTATTCCATGATAACCAACATTATTACGTTCACGTCCATGATTATTAAAATAGATTTCTTGTAAATGTTCTTGTTGTATTAACTGTTGTTGTTGATGGTGATGGTGTTGCTGTTGAAAATTCCTTCTATTTTGTTGTTGTTGTTGTGCCTGAAAATGTTGTTGTTGGCATAAATTATTAGCATAATAATGATTATAATATGGATTTTGTTGTCCAACAGAAACTAGCTAGGCGGTCACATAATATTCACGTTCAGCACGACGTTTTTCATATTTTTCTCTTGCTATATAACATAATGCTATAACAATTAATATAGCTATTGTTATACCCATTCCAATGCTAACCCACATAATTTCTTCATTAATACCAACATATGAACGTCCTGAAATTATAAATAAAAAAATATTAATGCAAATTACTTCTGATAAAAGGATCAACTAAAATTTATCTATATTGTATAATTTTATTGATATTCTTAAAACAATAAATATTTAAGGAACTGATAAATATTACCATCATAATAATTTTGTGAATATCCAGCTTTTCCAGCAACGCGACCAGCAGGCATGTTGACACTTAATTTATTTTCCTCTTTGTTTGGAAGTGAATAATAAAATTAGTTTTATTTTTTCAACTTTTTCCCAGTTGTTCTAACTACTCCAAAAGTTTTTATCTCTACTAGAAACTGCTCACACAAAAAATTTATGATCCAATTCAGGTTTTTTTATTTTACTCTGGTGGATATTGTAAGATAATCGATTTCATTTTTATATGGTTTTATCTGGAACAGGACAAAAGAAAAAATTATATTAAATTTTATGTAAAAATTTTCAAATATTATTTGCAGTTCAATAACAAATTAACCACTTATATAGATTTCTATATTTGCCGCAAGAACCTTATATACTATGTGTGTGAAATTTATATAAAAGTAAAATCTAGAATATTCGCCAAAATCATTAAAACCTACATAATTATAATATGTTGGACGAAATCCAATAATTATGTAGGAAAATTTAAGCATTTCGCTACCGTAATTTATAAAATATCCTTGTAATTAATCACTTTTATTTTATATTAATTGAAATATTTTTTAGTAATTTTCAATTTATTTCAATTCATTAAATTTTACAATTTTATTATGATGACAGTAATGATGACACAAACATTTTTGTCGCACTGTTACAATATTTTCAATTGTAATAAATTTGAGGTGAGACATTGTAACTGATTTGATTTTAATTGTAACAAATTTGAGGTGAGACATTAAAGTAAAGTCTAGAACTATATAGAATTTAATGTTTCCTTAAGTTACTTTAGAAACAGAAAGCATTCAATCTTTAAATGGGAATAATTCTGCTGTAGTATCATTATAACATTACTATTGCACATCACTTTTTTGTATCGGATTCATTGTAGCAGTTCCACCTTTAACACTGCAGATATTTCATCGTTATTGTATTATTTCTCTTTAGCTCTTGTTGATAAGTTATTATTTTAATATTATTATTTAAAAAACAACATATATAGTTTCACTAGTACTAGTAGTCTAGTAAAAACTGAAGAGCAAAATATGAAAAATGTTAAATGTGGGCGAAAGCTTTAGAATTTAAAAATATCGTAAAATTCTTAAAATAGAATTTTTCAACATATTTTCTTTAATTCCTCCTACAATTTATTTTTAATCTAAAACAAAAGAGATAGCGAATTTTTATTGTTCAAAATTCTTTTGCTTCATAAACTTGAAATAAAAAGAGGAAAATTAAAATATTATGAAAAGTTTATTTACCCTTTTCAATGTGAAAATTAATGATTTTCTTTATTAATTAATGCTTCTAAAATTTCTTCAACCCTTTTTGATAGACATTAATTGCTATTTAAAATTAATTTCTAAATATTTAAGTATGAAAATGAGGTTTTTGCAATAATGAAGAAAAAAAACATTGAAGAAGCATTTTTCAATATCAAAATTACTACACGAAGTAATAACTTAGATGTATATGACCCGCAAAATTTCTCTGATTCATGCATAAAATAAAAATTATATAACCGACTTCGCTCCATAAACTTGCTATATTATCACAAAAAATCTGATACGTTAGTAAAGAGTAATGAATGAATAACAGCTAAACAAAAAATATTTCGTAAACTCTGATAAACTAAAGAACTAGAAGGGAAATTTCATGAGCTTTGAAATGAGTTTCTCAAATTTATCCTGCCTTTCATATTTCCTGAGTTTTGTATTAAAAGCAAAAATTTTAGACTTGTCATATACAATTCAATTACAGCCAATTACAGCGGAACCATTACGAAAAGGGCGAATATTGGAAAAAATTTTGTAATATTTTGACACTCATATAGACTCCCATCTGAAATTTTACAAACAAAGCATAATAGTAAAATTTTCTATAAGACAACTTGAAATATATTGAATGAATATTAAATTTTGCATAATAATTTAGTATTTGCATGAATTCCGGATTTATGAATAACGAGACAATAAAATACAAGACGAAAATAGTTTGCTATCTTTTATAATGTTCTGGAGTTTCCATGCAAGCTGTTACTGTAACTCCAATTGTGAACTATTTAAAGGCGAGGAGTTGTTAACAGAATATTTAAACAATCACAATTAATTGGACAACAACAAATATTTTAAATTAAATAATATCTACGCATTTTAATTTAAAATATACTTAAATTTAAATTTTTCTTTAAAAGATTTTGTAAATTAACCTTGTAAATATGAATAGATGCTTATGTAAAGCAGTATGATTTTTCACAAATTAATTAATTATATTTTGAAAATCAATAACGTAGTTGTTTTCCAATATTTTTAATTGTCCAGGCTATTTTACCATCCAGGTTTGCGCATTTGCTTAAATAATTTTCTTCATAATAATTATTCGGCGAAAACTCGGTTAAGAACAATTTTCAAAAAAAGTAAAAATTCCCTTGTTATGTCATAAAAAACAGAAAATTTCCATAATAATTACGAAAGGATAAATTTATTGAATTTTAGAAAAAATAATAAATTTGCACGCTTTTAAATGCTAAATTAATTTTTATTCATATTGGAAGTTGGCCAGCAATTTGTAAAAATTTATGCACGAAAAAGAATCTGCGAAAAAATTTAATTAAATAAATTTGTATGAGTATATTTATTTCAAGTACTGTAAGTATAATTTAATTTATTGAAAAAAATTTATTAAATTTTTAAATGTTAAAATTTATTTAACTTTTTTGCACATGACGAACTTAATAAGTTACCACATCTCTTATTTCTGAACTAATTGATTTTAACTAATATCAAAATTTAAAGTAGAATTTTTGCAACTTGTATTTTTTGGGAAGGGAAGTTATAAGATAAAAAACTTGGGCAAGTAGAAATTATATAAAAATTTGAAAGAAACGGGCAATTTTTGATATTCTAAACGATAATATACAACATTGTACTCATTACTTATCACCTTAAGTAGCTGATCAATACCTTTTTAAAGGCGTAAACTGACAGACTTCAACTTTCAAAATGTTACGGAAGAAAAATATAGAAATAACATAGAATTTGCTTATGAACTTAAAATAAATAAACTTTAAAGAATCGACAATAGTTCCCCCTTAATGTCGCGTAATTTGCCAAAATTTACATAAATAAGTGACTTGGTACAGTTCTACATTGCGAAATATAACATTAGCAAACTATGGTATAAATTTGCCCACATTTCTCATGCTTGTACGAGTATGTACCGTTATAGGCATTTTAACTTTATTTCAAAAAATCAGTATAAAAGCTTGCTATCTTAAAAATCAATTGTCCCAAAATATAAAATCATTTTCATTAAAATTATTCAATTTTTATAAAACAGTGGAATCTCTACATTTAAACTATCCATATTCCAAATATTTAAATATTCACATTGTTAAATATGTTTGTGTTCGTATTTCCCATATATAAATTTGTTTTTTAAATTTTTAAAAATTTCTAGACCACAATATCCTTATATTCTTTGCCAAGATCTCCTAAAGCAACCAAAACTTTAACTGTTTCATAACACATTAAAATTTTATTTTCATTTCACGTTTTTTACTTTAAAAACTTTCCTTGCCTGTTTTAGTCTCATATTAAGGATTCTATATAGTTGCCAACTAACCAACATTAAATTTTTCCTTTGATAATAATAAAACTTTCAAATGCAGGAAAACATCTAAAATAATACAAAAACAAGAAAAATTTTTTTTGTTTTTTTTTCAGTTACAAAGAAAAATATTCGTAAATTTAATTTTGTTTTTAAAAATTCTTCTTCTCTATTTAAAAAACGAAGATAATAGGAAAAAATTTTTAAAACGACGAGACCTTTTGTGACCTCGTAACGGTATACAAACCATTTATTCACATGCGACATAAAATTATACTGAGTTTATGGTGTTGGAAATTAGATTGTGATGACACCATATAACTCAATGTAGAAGCGTAATATTACAATATATACTTACTATGAGTGATTTTAGGAAAATTCATCTCACTCATGAATCTCAGTTTTTTAAAGCTAAAAAGGCTGAAAATAATATAAAAAAATCGTAAATTATTAATAAATAAATTGTATATTTTTTCTGCTACGTTAACATTATAAAATTACACAATTTACTAGTGAATTATCTACTTAATTATACTTTTCTCATTTAAAATGCAAAATCATATCAAGCTACTAATCTGACCTGCGTAATTTTGTTGAACGTTACGAGTGAATGATCAGTTAATAATCAATAGTTAAAGCAGTAAAACTCTACATTCCATATCATTAAACTAAGCGATATTTTGCTTGACAGAGCACTCATCATAAGAACATTACATTTTGTAGTTTTCAATAAGCATTAAAAACGAAATGATACGTTCATAACAAAATTTCTCATAACGACCACAATAACAATAAAATGCAAATATATTCGTCCTTTTTGCCGCGTTTCATAACTACATACTCACTTCATTATCGGGCAAACAAATTGGTAAAATTAAATTCGTAATAAATTTTTCACATAGTGTACATATACATACTTATATGTGTGTCACTATAATAACAATACGTTTGTATGTGTGTATAAAAGAAGAATGTAACTTATGTGTGTGTCGCAATTTAGCGGCGTCTAAGAGACATTTTCATTTAATAAAAAAAAACACTTATTTTATTTGATGCAAAAAAAATCTGATGTGGTCAGCACATAACCGACCGCATTGTATATTGTCTAGTTAAGTGAAAGGGTTACAGAATATTATAACAATGTCTTTTAAATACTTCCTTTAAATTTTTAGGACATTAGTAAGCTTATAGTTAACATACCTAGAAAAATGTAAATTTTGCTCTTAGCAGAATTTCGCTTTGTGCTACCCGAATTCCCTGAAATGCTCGCCAGTTAGTTTCGGTAACAACCAGAAGTCAAATATCAAATTTCAAGAAATTCCATCAATTCGTAGATATGGTGAAAAATGTAAAATCGGCCCGCAAATCAGTTTTCGAGCCCTGACCTTTCCAAAAAATTTATATGTTCATTGTTTCAATACGAGGAATTTAAATATTAAATTTCAATGAAATCAGTTGATTATTTCTCTTTATATACCCAAAAATGTATATTTGGCCCGCAGTAAACGTCCAGTTGCTGATGCCTGAATTGTTCCAAAAGTTAGGAATTTTCGCGGACGGTCGAGCAAAGCTCAAATATGTAATTTGTAGTAAATCGGTTGAATATTTTCTTCAAAATGTTCAAAAATGTAAAACAGGCCCGCTA